ACCCAGTAGCCTTACAGACCCCTTCCAACTCTATTGTTCTGTGATTCTATGATTCTAAGATTTGGAAGATCACTGAAAATTTTTCCAGTGTATATCTGTAAAAGAAGAAGGTATAAAGCCAGCATCCTGTTGACTAAATGCAAATCAGAAGAGGAATCGCATCAGCATCACTGCCACTCTGGCAGGCTTTCTGATATGTTCCCATTCTCGCACTGGTTGTAAGATCAATTGCCCAACTGTTCATACAATGAGAAGCCTGCCAGGGCAGAGGAGATACTTATGCAATTGATGTTTCAATGTATGTTGAGGCCATGGGATACTGTCCAAAGAGTTAAGCAGAAAGTCTTCTGTGCTTGATATGTGGTGTGTGGGATACTTGTGTGATTTGAGGTGATCTTCCTTTGAGACATACATTTGGTGGAATAGATTAGCTTTATTGAGTGTTTGGGAGTGAACTGACAGTGCATTGGCGTGTTCTGTTGGAATGCAAATTATGAATTCAAATGACTGACTTCGTATCCTGGGGCTCAACATGATCCCACCTCTACCTCGTAGTCATATTCTTGGGCATGTTATCTTTTAGCCTCACTAGTTTGCCTTTGTGGGAACTAGATATGTTGAGGCTGGTTACCCACCATAGCAGCCATCTAATGAATGGGCACCCCTCACACACCCATGGTGGCCATTTTGTGATGGCATGTTTTCAAAATTCCAAACATTCCTGGAAAATGGGGCACTATGAGCATGACAACGGCTATGCTCATACCCTGTAAGCTGAATAGTGAGTGCTTCCTAACACTTAAAGGAATCAATCTGGGGAGAAGGTTGTTGGGAATAAATCCCACTGAAATTGTTAAAGCATGCCCCACAGTCCTTTGCAGGTTTATTCAGAAATAAGCCTTTTGTTATGCGGGCCTTATTCTTTAGTAAATACCTGTACGTTTTCAGCCTTACCGTAGCATCCATATGTATACTCTCAGAAATAAGTCCCATAGAGTTTGGTAGGGTTTACTCCTAAACATTACTGGACCTTTAAACTGGCTGGATCGTGTAAACTAGATAGCTGAGCTGGATAGCTCAGTGGCTTAAGTATCTGGCTGCAGAGCCGTAGGTTGGAAGTTTGTTTCCTCACCGTGCCTCCTGCAAGTAGAGCCAGCTTATGTGGTCCTGGGCAAGCTGCACCGTCCAAGGATACCTACAGAAAAAGGGAATGGTAAACCTCTTCTGAGTATTTAGTACCTTGAAAACCCTGGAAAGGTTTGCCATAAATTAGAAATGGCTTGATGGCACATGGTTATTTTTTTAAGCATTTAATAGTGAGCCCAAAACGTCTACAAGACAAGATCCATGGTAGCATAAGTCCCATTGATAAAGAAGCTTGCATGTTGCAGGAAAAATGGGTGAACTCTGCCACATTCTTCCAAACTGGGTTGTGCCATGCATAGTTTTTGATTTTTTTTAAAAGCATCTTTATGTTCCTTGGGACAAATGGGGAAAAAAACAACCCAATGGCTAGAATTAAAAGCACCCAGGCAGATTGCTTATGCCTTCTATTGGCAGTCCTCCGTGTCCCCACGGAGTATTTCTTGTTAAGGTGGGGGATGGGTCTGTTGCCCAAGAACAAAATAGTTGGCATGTTCTTGTGCACATGTAACATGCATTACTCCTATTCTCTGTTCCTGCTGGATTCCAAACTTCAAATATTTAGTACTCTGGTTAGTACAGGAACCTGTGGCACACTGAAGGAGGAAGGAACCAAAAGCCTCTTGTTTGTACCATGTGGGTTTATATTTATGTTACGAGGCATAAACAGTTGTTCCTTATTTATTTCTATGAAGTTGTCATGAGTTTGTTGCTCATTAGCTTTGTGTTTGTTAGTACACAGCCAGGGGTTTCTGCAGCAGTCCAGGAGATCTTGTTAAAGTTAACACCTCAGATAATTGTATCTGAAGACAACCATTTCCTACCAGGTAAACAGGCAACTGTTTGGAGGACTGACCAAGCACCGGAAACTCTAGAACAGGGCCCCCCAACCCCCAGTCCACAGCCTGGTGGTGGTCCGTGGGCTTGGCTGGTGGGCTACGGAGACAGATCTCCCGTCCCCCGCACACATTCCCCCTGCAAGACCACCCACACAGCCCCTTTGCGCATACACGCAAGTGCACGTGAGCCCCCCTGCAAGCGCCCCACCCCTTTGTGCATGCACACCAGTGTGTGCAGATGCCGCGCGAGCACCCCCTGCCCCTTCACACATGCACACATGAGCTCCCCACGCACAGACCCCATCCCCCCAACCGGTCCGCAGTGTCAAAAAGGTTGGGGACCACTACTTTAGAAGTTATTCATGCACCTTAAGAAATCAATGCTCCTGTTGAGTAGCTACTAGCTCAGCTCTAAACCATTGTACTCTGCAGGAAGGAATACCACCTACCACGATAAGCCAGGCGGGGCAGGGGACAGTTTGGAACACTGGAACAGATGCCCACTCCTCTCAGATCTTTCATTCTTTCAGATGTGGGTTTTCTTTTTCTAGCATTTTACATAGGAAAAATCATGATACTAAAGGCACATGGAAAATCAACACCACATTCTTAGGTGCTGCATATTACCACTTACAGTGTTTCTTATCCGAATCCACTTTAGTATGTTGTCCAGCCCAGGTTGGAGACTGTGAGTGTGTTGGTCAGCCTGTCAAATGATACAGTGCAGTAACTCGACAAGAGGCATACACAGCTCTGTTGGTTCTCCTGTTGGCTAGTATTTATCCTGTCAGAGAGAATGAGGAGGGAAAATAAGCCCTGCTTTGCCCACCTTTAGTCTCTGTATCTGGAGGCACTGTATAAAGTTCAGACTTGTTCCAGACAGAACACAGGTTATTCAGGGCTATAAGAAATTAGCCCAGATCTGGAAATCCAGCCTGTCTTGGCTAGGGTTGCACTCCTACCGTTACCCTGAAATAGCAGGTTTGGGGAGTGCTTTTGGACCTGCCTTTCCTCGGAGGGTGGGGTAGGGACAGCCAGCCACACTTTTCCCCACCTTCGCTTAGTACATCAGATTTTGTGTGTTTTAGGCACAGCCAGCCAATATGTGAGGTGCTCACCCCCAGATCATGCTCTTGCCATGATTTCTTTGTGTAGCTGCTATTTAAAGTGATCAGGATGTGCAGCTCATCCTAGATGCTGCTGGCAGAATGTGTGAGAAGGCGTCCTTGGGAGCAGGTTCCTATTCAGTCTGCTGTGGCTTTTGGATTGTTTCCAAGGCCAGTTCAATTATTGCCATTTGTCATTTTTTGGAGCCCTAAAACATTTGGAATCAGGAGGTATAAAGGGAAGTGTGTATATTTCCCAGTTTTAATGTTAATCATTTGGATTCTTTATAATGCCTTTAGGAAACTTTGAATTGAAATGGCCATTCACTGTGTTAAGTGCACTGTTTTGAGGAAGAAAACAGAACATATTCTTGATTATTTTTATTCAAAGTTTTGTTCAGTAATTCTGATTTTTAAAGTTTGGGGATGGGAAGCTGAGAGAGCTGGAAAATTATTTATTTGATGTATTGTATGTCAGTATTTTGTCTATGCAAGGATGATGTTTTGACTGCATGGTTTCTCCTGATTCCTCATATTTGCATTATAAGAATGTATCTTTCTTTGCTTTGGAAGAAGGGAAATATATCTATTGGCATGAGTAAACCCACAGAATAAAAGAGATTCAGCAAGTCAACAGTTATGCAAGTTCCATTGATGTAATTGATCCACTCTTATTTGGACTAATATATAGTACTTGTTTAAATCTTTTAATATTTGTTGTTTAGTCGTTAAGTCATGTCCGACTCTTCGTGACTCCATGGTCCAGAGCACGCCAGGCCCTCCTGTCTTCCACTACCTCCCTGAGTTTTACTATAGCACTTGTTTAATTCTTTTTCAATACAGTGGTGCCTCGCATAGCGAGGTTAATCCGTTCCGGATTAACCCTCGCTATGGGAACATCGATCAATGGAACGAAAAAACCCATTGAAACGCATTAAACTTGGTTTAATGCATTCCAGTGGGCCCCAAAACTCACCGTTGAGCGAAGCTCCTCCACAGGGGCAGCCATTTTTGCACCCTCAGCGAAGCTCCTCCATAGGGGCGGCCATTTTGGCGCCCTCGGTAAGGGAGGGCACTGCGCGAAAAGTTCCGCCGGCCATTTTGGAACTGCTGATCATCTGTTCCGCGCAGCTTCGCTATACGCTATGCGAAAATCGTTAAGCGAACCGCTTAACGATCATCGCACAGCGAAAAAACCCCATAGGGGCCATTGCTGAGCGAATGCTCCAGCGATGGCCCGGACCCCCTCGCTATGCGAATTCATCGCTCAACGGAGCGATCGCTAAGCGAGGCACCACTGTATTTGTATACTCACTGCTTTAGCTTTTAAATACTGCTTTAGTAATGTAAGCCACCTTGGGTCCTTTTGGGGAGAAAGCCAGCACAGAAATATTTTAAATTAAATTAAAATTAAACAGACAGACAGACAGACAGACAGACAAACAAACAAACAAACAAACAAATAAATAAATAACTTTAGATCCAGGATGTAGTATGTTACACAGGAAAAGGAAAAGGAAACAAAAAAAAGCAAATGTGTGCTGCTTCTATACCACCCCATACTGTCCCATAGGATTTAAATCACTCTCTGGGTGGTTTACAGTTTAATTATTCAGGCTATATATTGTCCTTGCTAGTAAGCTTGGGTACTCAAATTACTAACCTCCAAAGGATAGAAGGCCAAACTAACCTTGAGCCAACTACCTGACCCCACTGGGATCATACTCTGTGAGCAGAGTCTTGATTGCAATACTGTACTTCAGTTTAGTAAAAGCATACCGATAATTGTACATTTTTCTATGGCAAAAAAAAAAGAATTGTAATAATTTTAGAGCCTACCTATATCATTTCAACTCCTTCCTTCCTTGTTGTTTATTCTCAAACATTCTAATAAAATGTCATTTCTTTCTAGGAGTGATAACAAAACAGCAGGGATTCAGCAGTATTCCATTCCTGTCTTGTCAAAGTGTGTCTTGGCCAGTTGAAAACCGTAAGCAGTTTTTGGAAGACATCTTTCTTTAAGATGGAGACTGACAATGCGAATGGCTGGTTGTGGGGGAAAATCCTCTGAGAAGATGAAGATGTTTTCTTCTTATATTCCCTTTTAAAGCCAATCATACTTTAGTATGTGCAATGTATTGAGCACTTTTCCCTTTGCTTCCATAGGAAATATTACTCTCTGTTCATATTGTACCGCAGTCTCATTGTTGATGCCAAAGATCTGATGGGATTTCTACACTGTTCTTTGAACCGCAGATTATGGGACACAAGTCTTTAGTGTTTTTCAGGAGCCACCAGCATAAGTCAGATATGCATCCTCATATGTACCTCTATGGTGCTCACTGATTTCTTTCAATGAGATACTATTAAAATGTGCATTTTACATACATTGGAAGATGAATGGTAGTGCACATCCCATTGAAGGCAATGAGCAGATAAACAACTCAGATTGGATGAAGATTTGATTTACTTTTCTTTTCTAATTCTTTTGATTGGGGCGTCAGGGCCTCTTCCCCCCTCCCCTTAAATATCACTGTTGAAGGGAGCAGATAGACCCCAGTGCTCCCTTCAACAGTGTAATTATCAAGCACAAATTAAAACTGCTTGATCTGCTAGTAATTTTGTTTAGATTATCAATATCTATCGTTCTTCTTCATGGTCTTTGTGAATGCATACTAATGGGTTTAATCTGCGCTTGCATAGAGATCTCCGGAATATTCTAGAGCTCAAACATGCGTTCGCTGGGACCGCCCCCCCAGTACATGTGGCCCGCCCATCATAGTGATTACCTCAGTTCCTTTTTGCCGCCACTGAGGTCTCATCTTTTCTGAGCTCTCCGTTCACGCAGATTGGTTCTTTTTCCTGAGGAAGCATAATACATTGTTCTTATTTTTAGAAATAGACTGTTCTATAATATTTTTTTTGTTACTCCTTGTGATTTTCGGTCGTTTTACCATTTTTTTCTTTTTTTCCATAATTCCCCCTTTCACCCTCCCTTTTCACCTTTTATGACCCCAACAGGGCCGTTTAAGAGCTGCACTTAATGCACAAATAAGTTGCCTGTTTCTGATGGCCACGATTCTTGTCTTTTTTGTTTGGGAGAATCACATCAGCCAGCCTCCTGCTCCTATTTTAAGAACTTTACTAAATAAGCCATCAAGCTTCATCAACAACATCTTAAATCTTCCTTGTGGAAGTAATCTCTTTGTCCACCATCCAAGATGGATGAGACTCAGGCTTCACAACTGTCACCAATTGGTTCAGTTACTAATTCCCCGTTACCGACTCCTAAATCTAAGCCAAAATTGCCTAAGTCAAAGTCTTCTAGATTGACATCACAATTGACCCCAACACCGAAAACTACTTCAAAACCAATTGGTACCAAACCAAAGAAATCTAAAAAGTCTTCTGTAAACTCTCAACTGCCGGTACAGCATTCTTCCGTACAGGATCAACAACCTATTGATCTCGATATCAACCGCGAATCCATCAGCCAAGCCCTCTGGCTGATATGGCTGCACTTTCTCGGGACCGCTCATCATCCTTACAAGTCACCATGAGCTACACTGGACCCCCGCCTGGTGCTGTGGACTCTAAGAAACCTCAGAAGCGTAAGCCAGATCGCATGGTGACTCTAGAACACATCCCTCCCCTTCTACAAGAGGGAGACTGGTTCTCCGTCATCAACCTGAGCTATGCCTATTTTCATATCACCATCAGACAGGACCACTGCAAATTTTTTCACTTCTCTCTTGGTCAGACCACCTATGAATTCAATGCCCTACCAGTCGGCCTCTCCACCGCTCCGTGAGTATTTACAAAATGCATACTCCCCATAGCAGCGCACCTTCGCACCCTAGGAATTTCTGTACATTGATGACTGGTTACTTGTGGCTCAGTTACGTGCACAAGTTCTGAAGGACATTGCTGTCCCTCTTTCTTTACTGGCAGATCTGGGCCTCCAGGTGAATGTCGACAAGTCAGTACTAACTCCCTCTCAAAGAGTCACTTACATAGGCGCAGTTCGAGACTCACATCACGCGAGGGCTTTTCTCCCTCGAGAACATGCAGTCAAGATATGTACTCTCATCAGCCACTCCCAGCCTTACGCACTGGTCGCTGCTTATCACGTACAATGCCTCCTTGGCCTCATGGCCTCCACCACATCCATTATTCAGCATGCCTGACTGAAAATGTGCTTGTTACAATTGCGGTACCTATCCCTTTTTGACCCGCTTTTCAACCCACCCACTATGCTTCTAGAAGTCACTCCTGAGCTTGCATATCAGCTGATTTGGTGGATCACCCCAGCCAATCTTTTCCTTGGGTGACCGTTTGCACCTCTCCAATTGGCAATTCAAATTACAACCAATACCAGCCCCGTCGGTTGGGGTGCACATTGTGAGCACCTTCGAATTCATGCCACATGGTCCTCTTACGAAAAGACTCTCCACATCAACAACCTCAAGTTGCTGGTGATCTTCAAAGCATTCCGCGCTTTCAAAATACTCATTACGGGTACTGCAGTCCAGGTGACCATGGACAATACGACAGCACTCTACTACATCAACAAACAGGGAGGTACACACTCTATACCCCTCCTCTATCTTGCTGTCCAGTTTTGGGAGTGGTGCCTGGATCACCACATTTTTCCTATGGCGGTCCACATTGCCAAACAACACAACCAGTTAGCAGACTCTCTCCGCAGGGTGAATTCCCAAATGCACGAGTGGTCCCTTGATGACACAATTTTTCTCCAACTTTGCAATAAGTGGGATCATCCCGATATAGACATTTTCGCCACAGCAATCAATGCCAGATGCACCCAGTACTTTTCCAGAATGGGCATCGACCAAGGGTCTCTCGGCAATGCTCTCATCGCAAGTTGGACCACGTGCTTCCTTTATCTCTTCCCACCGATACCACTTCTCCTGTAGACCATCGTCAAATTGAGACAGGACCGCTTGAATGCCATTCTGATCGCCCACTGGTTGCCGAGGCAACCTTGGTTCATAATGCTCACATCAATGGCCTCTCAATCCATCCGTCTACCTTGCCTTCCTCACTTTCTCACCCAGCATCACGGGCAAACTTACCATCCCGATCTCCAATCCCAACAGCTTGGAGGATCCTCCCTCCCTAAACATCATCTTTACCCATGCCAGGAAACCAACCACAAATCAACTTTATGCTTACAAATAATCTGCTTTCCAGACGTTTGCTCGTCAGAATGATCTTCCGACGGCTCCGACTACTCTCCGAGCAGTGTTGGCCTTTCTTTCTTATCTTTTCAACTGTCATCTCTCATTATGTACAATCAAGGTCTACATGTCTGCTATTGTGGCTTACCAACCACAGGACTCAGATGCTGCCTTGTTATTCAGGCATCCCACGTTGAAGAGGTTTCTACGAGATGTGGTTCATCTCCATCCATCCAGGCCCTCTCCGACACAACAGTGGTCGCTACACACTGTCTTCCGGCACTTGTCACTGCCGCCCTTTGAACTTCTTGTGACTTCCTCCGAGCTCTTGCTCTTCTTTAAAGTGTTGTTTCTTGTAGCCATCACATCCGCCTGTAGGGCGTTGGAACTGGTAGCCCTGCGTGTAGACCCTCCATTCCTTCAATTTCATCCGAATAAAGTCACACTGTATCCAGACATCTCTTTCCTTCCTAAGGTCATTTCTGATTTCCACGTCCATCAACCTATTATCCTGCCTACCTTCTTCCCGTCACCATCAATGGGTGTTGAGTGATCCCTCCATTTTCTAGATGCGAAAAGGGCCCTTGCCTTTTATGTCAAGAGAACTGCCTCTTTTCCTAAGTCTAAATGGCTATTTGTTTCACCTCATCCACCGCATAGAGGGGCACAGGTGTCCCCCAAGCTGTCCCACAATGGATTGTGCAGACTATACGCCTCACTTATCAGATTGTCCGAAAGCCTCTGCCTACTGATGTCAAGGCTCACTCCACCACGGCAATGACCACCTCCATGCCTTTTCTTCGAGGTGTACCAGTTCCAGATATTTGCAAGGCTGCCACTTGGTCAACTCCATCAACATTTGCATCCCATTATCGTTTGGATGTAAGGGCCAAGTCAGATGCGGCTTTTGGTCTTGCAGTCTTGTGTTTGCTTTTGCCGTGACATCCCTCCACCTGTGAGATAAGCTTGTTAATCACCCATTAATGTGCATTCACAGAGACCACAAAGAAGAAAGAGAGGTTACTTACCTGTAACTCTGGTTCTTTGAGTGGTCATCTGTGAATTCACACTTCCCGCTCGTCCTCCCTCCTTCCGTCATGTCTGTTTCATTATTTCAGGCAGCGGCTTTTTAGGAACTGAGGTAATCACCATGACGGGCAGACCATGTGTACTGGGGGGGGGCGGTCCTAGCAAATGCATGTCTGAGCTCTAGAATATTCCAGAGACCTCTGCACAAGTGCAGATTAAACCCATTAGTGTGAATTCACAGATGACCACTCGAAGAACCAGAGTTACAGGTAAGTAACCTCTCAGTCTGAAACAGGGAAACAAGTATTTGAAGCGGGGAGCAACCATAGCAGTATTTGTTCCACAGTTATGGACCAATTTTCTTTATTTGAAGAAATTGGTTGTTCTGTTTATTTGGCAGGATTCGTATTGTGTAAACTCATGCACAGATTATAACAAGAGACAGAGAGAGAGAACTGGTGTAGGATAAGCTTTTATCCCTCAGCCAGGGTGTAAAGTAGCAGAACTATTCTAAAACTGTTAGTCAAGTTGAATTTTGAAAGAATGAAATGTTAAAAAAGAAACCCTTATAATGCAAAGACATTTGAATTCTGTGTTGTTATCTTTCACTTCAAATTGAAGTAAAAAAAAGATATGAAGAAACTCACTTGGAGTAAGCAGGCTTTATAAATAATGCATGTCACATTTGCTAATAATGAAAAATCTGGTTCAGTGTTACAGCAAAGTAACATGGCTTTCTGAAGAAAAAAGATTGTCATATCTTAGTCAAATGGCCACATATATTGGCCTTGTAGTTAAACTTTCTATTATTTCTCTATTAGTAGAGTGTATTCATGATTTTATTTTCATAAAATGTAATGGATTTGAAGACCCAGCCCTTTGTGCCTTCTCGGCTGGGAGACCTTACGAATCTGGAAGAACAAGGCCATACTTAGAGCCTGAAAATTTACCATGTACCAGAAATTAGTTCCTGATATAGTGCAAGATCACCAAAAGTAATCACTCACTCTCACACCAGTAAATGTTATAAAAAATAAACTTTTGCTATTTCCATTATCCAGAAATAACTAAAATAAATGTTAGGGGCTGGGCCCCCCGTTCTTTTAATTGAATGTTACATGTTACTGGCCGGTCTCCTGCCCACTTTGTAATTGCCTCAACACCCACAACAGAGCATAAGGCAGCAGCCCAAGGCACAGCTTGAGCTAGCATTTAAATCATGTAATATTTCTCCTAGGCAAAGTGTGGCCCATGAGCTTTGTGCATCCCCAGGAGCCTAAATGTGTCCCCAGCAACTCCACCCCAGTGCCTCCACAAATGAACAAAAGAAAAGAAAACCATTTATTTGCAAAGATTTTTAATTGTAAAAAGTACTAGAGGGTGCAAGGAGGCTTTAAAATGTTTTATATAAAACTATATCTTGGTGAGGGACTGCAGGAACAAGTAAATGTTCCAAGGTTGCGAGTATAGGCATTTGCAGCCCACAAATATCCAGAAGTTACCCATTCCTGTCCTAAATGTAATTTAAAAGGCAAAAAAAGTGATGTCGTCCTTGTGTAGTTACTATGCTAGGTAGTGGCTGGACTCCTGTTGGCATTTGAGTAAACCTGCCTGCCAAGGTGGAGAGATGTATCTCAGATGCACAGTTCCACAAATGACCAGCACATTGCCAAGATGCACCTAAGGATCTCATCAATTAGCCAGCATTAAGTTATGCAAACCTTACATGAATGGCAATAGGATTCTGGCCAGTGTCGTATAGTTGTACCTGCATTATTGATAAAAGAAAATAATGAGACACAACTAGTTACTTCCAGGGTCTGACCATATCCTTCTCAATTTTCAGCATTCAGATTTCTGCACTCTGCAGATGCCATTGCCTCCCTTTTGCTACTGTGAAGGATTCCTACATACCTTCCACTTTTCCTTTTCATGTTGGAATGGTAGATTAATAGTGCAGTACTGTATAATGTCCTTCCTGAAGAATCTCCAAATGAACAAAGTGAGGCTAGCTGAAGATGCCCTTCTTGAAATGAGAGAAAAACTGTGGTTGTTGGAGTTTTCCTAGGAGTTGAAGAAGGTGGTGGTGAGAAATCTCTAGCATTTTTTTGTTAACAGCACCCTCTGGAGACAATCGTTGCTCCATGTAAGAAGGAAAGTTCTAAATGCAGAAAGCTTTTCACAATATAAAATTAAAAAAACAACAGAGAAGGCATACACACATGTTAAATGTTACAGATGTTTTACCACTGTGAACTAAATAAAACTTTAAATTTGCAAGTTGTGAACAGGCAGTCTGTTTTGTGGCATCCTTACCATACTAATTGTTTTTCTACAAGCATTTTGAAATCAAACTGGCTCAGGGATAATGATGACTGCTAAATCACAGTTAATCATTTATCAATAGCCAGTCCACACTGCATTTACTGTTTCTTGATTAATCCGACTCCTACCATATATGGAATTTCTCCTGTCACACATTGCAAGTTGGTTTACAGACATTCATGACTTATGTGGATAATGTGTTATTGATATTGATAAAATGTCAACTCGAAACAAGATTCTCAATAGTCATTTCCAACATTCAGCTGCCAGCCAGGAATGATCCATATTTGTATTGATTTAGAGCACTGGTTCCCAACCTGTGGGTCATGACCCCCCAAGGGGTTGCAATGTGTTTTCTGGGGGGGGGGGTTGTAGTTTTCAGAGGAGTGGGACACATCACCCTCAACCTGTTCCTTTCTGCAGGCACCCTGCCGCTTCCCTCGCTTCTAACCCCCTCCTGGAAAGCTCTCTTTGCTACCCATTTTGGGGCTCCCGGGCACTAAGGGGCCCTGATTGTGCATTCTCATTCTCCGGCAGTGGCATTTCCTCCTCATCAGCTCTGGTGGCTGGCTGGGGCAGAGGACTGGGATGGGGGAAAAGCCAGAGGTGGGACCCATCTGCAGTCTCTGTGATCCAGGCTGGCCATGGCAAGGGTTGAGAGGTGAGGAGCCATGGCAGGCTGGAGGAGAAGTGGCGGAAGATAATGAAAAAGGCCACTGCTGCTGCTGCCACCAAAGCCCCCTTGCCTCAGCTGCACACTGCTGCCACCATCTTAGGGAGGATGGCTGAGGTGGAGGAGTCTCAAGAGAGGACAAAAAGGATGATGGTTCCCTTCCTGGGGGACATTTCACCCTCATCCAGTAAAACCCAGTTTTAACCCACCATCGTTACCTCCACCTCCTAGAGCTCATTAAGAGACTGTCAGAGAGAGGGAGTGGCTTTAACAAACAGCCATGAATTTCGAAGCTATTTGCCCAGATGCAAGTACAACCATCACATTAAATATTGGGTTATAATTATAATTTGAAAATTCTATTATAACGTGTTTTCTTTCCACCATTAAAAATGTATTTTTAATGCAAATATACAGGGTAACAGGTCCCTTGGCTATTATAAAAGGGGATAGCAACTTGAAAAGTTGGGAATCACTGATTTAGAGTCACCATCTTGGTGTTCCACTCCCACCTGAGATAAGATGTTGTGACCATTCTGACTTTAGATTTGGCAGTTCTAAACAATTATGTCATTCCCAAGGATTTTGAGCCAATACATTTTTCCTGCGTGTCTTTACCTGAAATAATCACCTGCAACAATCTGTCCTTTTAATTTCTCATTACATGACTAGAGGATTCTAGCTTTCTTCACTCCATGTGTTTTATGTCTTCATCCTCATTTGCTGTAATAATTCATTGATCCCTCTTCATTGGTTGCCATTCCAATTCATGAAATTCTTATTATTTTGCAATAAATCCACATGCGTTCACCTATATGAAAGTCCATGATTCCATGACATACAGTAGAATTAAGAATATGCAACACTGTACAAGGGGCATTCTTAAAGCCACTTGTAATTTTTGTTGCATATTACATTCATTTAAAGGAAGCTGTTGCAGGCCATCTCTAGTCTGGCTTTTATAGGATGGCTACAGTCTCACTCTGAGCATGAATATGGATAGTTCACTGAACTTTACTGTATTTTCCACAGTCAAAGAGTTCAGCCAAGTCCATTGCTAAGTTACAGTGGATCTGGGAGCATGATCTATATTTTGTATCATCTTGGGTTTGGGGGGTTATTAGAAACCTAAGCTCCAACCATCATCTATGAAGAACAAACACTAAAAGAAGGACTAGAGATGCCAATATGTTATAAACCAAATTTTAGAATGCGGCTGTCATAGCACAAAACTCTAACGAGAAAGAGTTTATATAAAAAAAGATCTCTCCACTGATGACAATGACCGTAGTATATAAAAAGAAATTCCCTGTAGCATCAACCTAGAAAGGTAAGTAAAACCTAAGTGCAGGAAGAAGTTTATAATGACAACAGGTATGACTGAATATGTTTAAGAAAATCAGAGTTTACATTGGCATTAAAGTAATACAACTTTTTCTAAGAGATTTTTTTTCTATTTGAACTTTTCATGGAATAGAAAATTCTATCAATATTTGGCTGGGATGAATATTCACCAGCTCTATGAAGAAAGAAAATGAAACTGATTGTGGAAAGGCAGACAAATATGGAAATTATTTCCTTTGATTAGGAATTATTTCATTATGCACAGCCACAGTGTGTTATCTCCACAATGAGCTTCCATAAAAGACATAGGCAATCTCAAAATGCTACACAAGAAACTAGGACAACCAGAAGGAAGGTGTGCAGGATAGTCTTCTGCTGGGCAGGTAAGTTGACCGAACTTCCAACTTTTATTCAACTTCACTCCATTTTCTGCCAATTTGCTCAAGAGAATTCTGATGTCAGAGCACTCATTCACACAGTCCCTTTTTATCAGTCAACATATACCTTGAATTGATCTTCACAGAAACTAGCCACAATGGAGCAACAATTGTTTTATTATAATTAAGTGGACAATTCCCTGGGCAGCTAGATCAATGCAATTTCCACATTGGCATGGTGGCAAGTAGGGCACTCAGAAAGAAATGGGAGAGGCAGGAAAGCCAGGTTTTCTGTCCACCTTCCAGCCTTCTAGCAATAGAGTGCTAACAGCTGTCTGAGCAATGTCTGGCAAGCATGTACTGACACTACCTTCTCGGGTTCCATCTCTCCATCTGTTTTGCTTGCTGCTGTGACTGCGCCTTCCTTTTGTTTCACCAACAACAGCACAGGGTTATAGCTCATCGATGAAAAAGCATGTACAACACAGTAATTAGGGGTAATCTAGTTAGCACCAAAGGAACTACCTCTACCACTGACAGTTTTGCCTAGTTGGAGTCAAAGGAGAAATATTTTGTGCCTCTGCTCTAGGAGGTTGGTGGTTTTATAAGCAGCAATAAGGAAGTGTACTCACTTTTAGTCGATCACTCCAACCTAGTCTAGAGATACTAGTGCCCACCAGATGCCAAATGAATGTATCTCAAGAGACTTTGCAACAGACAGTGAGACCTCTACTGACAAAATCTTTTACCAGTGTGGTATTTTCTGGGTTGGAAATTATTTCTTGACAGAGAAAAGACTTAATTTGGAATTGGTCACAAACTGAATACAGTGGTACCTCGACTTAAGAACTTAATCTGTATTGGGACTGAGTTCTTAAGTCAAAATGTTCTTAAGTCAAAGCACCATTTCCATAGGAATGCACTGAAAACCATTTAATCCGTTACCTGCTGTTTTTCGATCTTAAGTCGAGGCACTGTTCTTAAGTCAAAGCATTAGTTCCTTTAAGAACTAATGCAAAGCCAGTTAATCCGTATCTACCACTAAGGGGCACATTTTTTTTTCTTTTGACCTAAGGTGAACTTAGTTCAAAAAAAGGGCAGGAAAGTTTTTTTCTTCTTGTTGTTGTTGGTTCTTAAGTCGAGGTTCTGTTCTCAAGTCGAAGCAACTTTTTGCAAACTGAGCCGTTCTTAACTCATATCTTTCTTATGTAGGGACATTCTCAAGTTGAGGTACCACCGTAAGGAAGAATCACAACTATCTAGCATCCTGTTTAATGAATTAACGATTAACAGGTTCATCTAGGTGACCAAAGGAGAACGTGACTCATTTGGTATGATCATCATGTAACCTGCTGTTTTTCGATCTTAAGTCGAGGCACTGTTCTTAAGTCAAAGCATTAGTTCCTTTAAGAACTAATGCAAAGCCAGTTAATCCGTATCTACCACTAAGGGGCACATTTTTTTTTCTTTTGACCTAAGGTGAACTTAGTTCAAAAAAAGGGCAGGAAAGTTTTTTTCTTCTTGTTGTTGTTGGTTCTTAAGTCGAGGTTCTGTTCTCAAGTCGAAGCAACTTTTTGCAAACTGAGCCGTTCTTAACTCATATCTTTCTTATGTAGGGACATTCTCAAGTTGAGGTACCACCGTAAGGAAGAATCACAACTATCTAGCATCCTGTTTAATGAATTAACGATTAACAGGTTCATCTAGGTGACCAAAGGTCACACTGATATACATCCAAAATCAGGTGGCGATGGAATTATTTATCAAAGAGCAATGCAACCTAGTAAATACAGTTTGCAAGTTGTGCGCAAACATATGGCATGTGAAACTGTAATGTAAACTATTGCTTTGGGACAAGTTTAAGAGAGATTTTAGAAGTTTAGACCGAAAACTCAGTGTGGTGTAGTGGACAGTCTGACTCAGAAAACTTGGGTTTGAATTCCTGCTTGCCCATAGAAAGTCATGAGGTGATGGTGGGAGGGGGGATCTACTGACAAAATCTTTTACCAGTGTGGTATTTTCTGGGTTGGAAATTATTTCTTGACAGAGAAAAGACTTAATTTGGAATTGGTCACAAACTGAATACTGTAAGGAAGAATCACAACTATCTAGCATCCTGTTTAATGAATTAACGATTAACAGGTTCATCTAGGTGACCAAAGGTCACACTGATATACATCCAAAATCAGGTGGCGATGGAATTATTTATCAAAGAGCAATGCAACCTAGTAAATACAGTTTGCAAGTTGTGTGCAAACATATGGCATGTGAAACTGTAATGTAAACTATTGCTTTGGGACAAGTTTAAGAGAGATTTTAGAAGTTTAGACCGAAAACTCAGTGTGGTGTAGTGGACAGTCTGACTCAGAAAACTTGGGTTTGAATTCCTGCTTGCCCATAGAAAGTCACGAGGTGATGGGGGGGGCAGCACTTGTAAAACCAGTCTTTACGTATTTCACATACTTAAAAACTTCTATTACATTTGCTATAAGTGAGACAAAAATGAAATTAAAAACAGAGGCAGTTAGGTATTATAATGCAAAATCTGGCCGAACAATCAATCAGACTCCATGGGAAGTCTATCAACATAACCATCATTCAAGCCTATGCTCCAACTACTAATGTGAAGAAGATGAAATTGAAAGTTTTACCCAAGTATCCAAGAGGAAATTAATCACACATCAAAACAAAATATTCTTATAATTATAGGTAACTGAATACAAAAGTGGGGAACAATGCAGAAACAAATGTTGAAAAATTCATTCTAGGGGACAGATATGAAGCAGGAGAATGACTTATAGTCCTGTGAACCCAACAATCTATTGCAAATTCAACTGAACTGTACATGTGGATATCACCAGATGGTCAAACCAAATACACTATATAATTGGAAATAGGAGATGGAGAAGCTGTATTCTGTCAGCCGAAACAAAACCAGGAGTGGATTGTGGTACTGATCATGAATT